TGATTGTAGTATGGCATGTGACAGACTTACTCATAGCTTGCGCTAAGAAGCTGTTTAGTTTCCACGTTCTGATTCCCCAACTTAACCTGGAACACACCCGCTCCGCTTAAAGTTTCACTGGGGATGTTGGCACTGGTTAGATACCAAAAGCACATCAGGATGTTAACAAACTTCCTTCCTTAGGGAAAAAACATACACATACACACACAAATACAAATCACAATAGTCTATCATCCACATATCCAAAATGAAATAGAAATTGGCAGTAGTTACAGTTGTTACAGATCAAATTTTGCGCTTCTTCTAGTCTAACTTAACTACCTATATTGCTACCTTTTTATTTTCTTAGGGTAATGTTGGTTTTGCCCTCTTCTTGCGTTGTAATAATAATAGCTACTATTTACTGAGCATGTACTATTTACTAAGTATACTATATAGATTGTTTTCAATTTGTGGCATCATCTAAAACTGTAACAGATATCTGTTGTCAAACCAAAAAATGAGGGGGGAAAACACTTCTTGCTACTAAGTAATTAACCCCAAATGCCAGAAAGAAGAAAGACTTCTATTCCACCCTAATTCACTTTGCTATGCCTAGTGATTATGACAATGACTTGTGTAAAAATCAGGTAGTGACTACTGTGCTGAGATGCAATCTGAAATATTAGGGAAGAAACAATATTTATGAAAAACATGTAAAAGTACCTTTACAAATGTTTCAAATTAACATGTGTATGAAAATGAAAAAATCTTAACTATTAAGAGTCCAAATCAGAACTGCCTTGGGAAGTGTGTAAGGAAAGGCTAGATAGATCTCCTACGTGCCTGGCACATAATACATATGCAAAGGTTTGTAGCAGGAATAAATAAGTCAATAAATTTTCAGAAATGCTATAAGGAAAAAGTATGCATTGGACAAGATGATGAGCCAGATAACCACCAACGTTCCTTTCAATGTTTTTCATTGTCTCCAATTTGGGAGTTCTACAGTTGATCTTACTTTCAAAAGTCTTTAGCTGATATTATTTACTTTTTCTTTTACTCCTTACTCCTTCTATGTAACATACAGCTGGACATTTAAAATGCTTAATTGTTTTCTTCAAGTTAGGAAATCTGACATACAAATATTTTTAATTGTGATATGGGAGCAGCTTGTCCTAGACCAGTGATGGCGAACCTTTTGAGCTCGGCGTGTCAGCATTTTGAAAAACCCTAACTTAACTCTGGTGCCGTGTCACATATAGAAATTTTTTGATCTTGGCAACCATAGTAAAACAAAGACATATTTTTGATATTTATTTTATATATTTAAATGCCATTTAACAAAGAAAAATCAACCAAAAAAATGAGTTCGCGTGTCACCTCTGACACGCGTGTCATAGCTTCGCCATCACTGTCCCAGACAGACTATTTTCATCAACGTGACGATGCTCTCGCCTGGGAATTAAATAGTGGTAGGCAAAGTTCCAGATAAAAGGCATAAGAAACTACTACCATATCGCAGCTCTTCCAGAGCTAGGTCTTTAAAGAATGAACACGCTATTTTATCTGAAGTCCCATGAGTATCCATTTGTACCAACAAACTCCCACTATGTCATGATCTTTCATCCAGTAGTTTAGTTTACCTGGACAACCGTGGGTCACTTAAAGCCGCCTACGCTCCAGCATTACCTTTGTCGTCGTAGTAAATGGAGATGTCTCCTGTGGAGGTGTACACAATCTCATCTATGTCAGCAGCAAGGGCATCTTTGTGGCTGTCAGGTAGTGAAGTAACCTTTTCTTTCAACACAAGCAGCAGCTAAGTTTGGAAAAAGCAAACTGTAATTCACCTCTCAAGTTTTCGAAAGCTTTTCAAGAAACTCAATAAACTGTTCATGGAATGAATTTTTCTATTCCTATTTTTAAATTTACTACCATATTTACTCAGCTTCAAAAGCAAGGCTAAAAAGCATCTTATCATTCAACTAGGTCCATGGTCGGCAAACTGCGACTCGAGAGCCACATGCGGCTCTTTGGCCCCTTGAGTGTGGCTCTTTCTAAGCCTTAGGAGTACCCTAATTAAGTTAATAACAATGTACCTACCTATATAGTTTAAGTTTAAAAAATTTGGCTCTCAAAAGAAATTTCCATTGTTGTACTGTTGATATTTGGCTCTGTTGACTAATGAGTTTGCCGACCACTGAACTAGGTAATTTATAACAGAACATTCTATATAAGAACAATCAAGGGATGTCACATTTACTTACTTATGCCTTAGTAGCAAGTCATTCAATGCTTTTATCCAAAAGGAATGATACAGGGACTCTGCTTTGGCTGATGGCACACACTAATTTTAAGCATATATAAGGATAATGTACTGTATATATTATTTGGTTGCAAGAAAATAATACATTTATTTTTATAGGAAAATTAAAAGTATACTTTACCTCTTTGGTCACAAGTTCTTCCAGCAGATCAAATTTACACTGTGACAGCAATCTGGAGACATGAGCAAAAGCCTTAAAAAAAAAAAAAATAGTGGAGGGAGGGTGGTGATTATTTCAATGTTCAAATTTAAATGGCCAAGTGTGACAGACTATTTTATGATAAAGGTGATAAACAACATCAAGCACTAATATACCAATGTCAGGCACAACTCCTTCCAGTTGGGTGGCTTTTCTTTTCTCATAGAGCCTTCCCACATATACAGTAGTAAGTAGGCAGACTGCTAACTATGTATCCACTCTCAGGACCTGGGAAAAGACTGTGCGTGGTGTACACACTAGGACCTGAATAAAAATCCTCCTACATATTTCCTTTTAAAATAATGATGGAGTAATCATTCTGAGTGTTACACGACTCCCCCCACCTCCCGCTTAATCAAACATAAACAGCAGCTGAGAAGCAGTAAAATCTAAATTGTATCTGAGAGTCCCAAGATCTGGGTTGTAGTCTGAGCCATTAAGCTAGGTAAGCAGGTTTGGGAAAGTGGCAGGAAAGATAAGGAGTTTGCAGTCTACGACAGTGGATTTCCACTCTGAAGTATGAGGTCCCATTTTAAAGTGGGGAGAGCAAACGGCAGTCCTCCACATCCTAGCAGTGAGAAGTGAAGCTGTGCAGAAAACTCGACCTGTCTTCAAGTAAGGAGGAAGGCAAGTAAACTGACAAGTGCAAGCATGACGACGGGTAAGGACTGGATGCTGTGGGAGCAAACAGAAGAGCCACCGAAGCCACCCTGGGAGGCCCAGGAGGCCTTCCTGCAGCAAGTACCATCCGGGGTGAAATCTGAAGAACTGGAGGAGAGAGGATGCACAGGCATGTCAGAGAGATGACGTTACCTAATTATTACGGGGGTTGGTTGTCAGAGGAATCAACTCTGGGATTAGAGGTTTGGAACTTTCAGCCCCACCTCCAGACTTTCAAGGAGGATACAAGTGCTGGGGATTGAGTTACTCATCAAGGGCAACGTCTTAATCCATCACACCTATGCAATGGAAGCTCAATAAAACCCTAAAGGGAGGATTAGGAGCTTCCAGGCGGTGACCCTCGGAGATGCGGGAGATGTGGTGCACTGGAGAGGGCATGGACACGCCCCCCCCCCCACCCCTTCCCACATACTCTGCCATGTGCATCTCCTTCATTAGGCCGCTCCTTTCAAATAAACTGGAAAGAGCAAGTGATGTGCTTCCCTGAGTTCTGTGAGCCATTGAGCCAATTACTGAGTGATGTGGGAACCCCCGATTCACAGCTAGTCGATCAGAAGTGTGGGTGGGTGTGTGAAGTGGAGGCAGTCCAGTGGGAACAGGCCCTAACCTGTGGACTCGGCATTCAATCCGGGGAGCCGGGGAGTTAGTGCCAGAACTGCCGTCAGGGGTCTGGTAAGGAATATCTCACCTGAAGAGTCTTCGAGGAAATAGCCCTCTTTTTCATAGAGAAGGCTAAAATGGGCAAGCAAGATACAGGGAAAAACACAGTATACGGTTCATGTGATGTGATGGCAGCAGCATTAGGGAAGGTATCATGTCACATAGACCTGTCAATGGACAGACCTTGTCTTTCTCATTTTGCGGAAAACCACGCTCAGAAAAGCGAGCGATGTGACCTTCAAGGGGCCGAAATGGGCTCTGAGTCCATTTCTGATTCAAAGCCCGCGGAGAGTGGAAGAGGTGACCGGGGGCTTCGCGCCGGTGTCTCCCTGGCACCGAGGACCTCGCGGCCACCGCACAGAAGCGGAAGCGCAGTTCGCCCTCGAGAAGCGCCGGAGAGCTGCGCGCAGGGCCGCTCCCCCGGTGGACCGAGAGCCCGTGAGGACACGTCTCCGCTCAACACCTTGGACGTGCCCGGGCTGCAGGCCCGGGAGGCGCACGGTTCCCCCCGGGCCAATGCACCAAACCTGCTTCGCCCCCTCGGGAGACTCCTTGATGCTGAACTCCTTGTCGAAAATAGGGCCCAGATGAGGAAGGCGAGGGATCCCGCGTCCGCACCCAGTTGACGGGGGTTGGAGAGGCCCAGGATGAGCATCTTGGTTTTCTGGCGCTGCTGGGGCTGCTCCTCGGTGCTGTAGCTGCGCCGGGGGCCGGCGGGGAGCGCGGGCAGGGCGGCGGGGAGCCCCGCGGGGCGGAGCAGGGGACGCCGGGGGTCCCGGGCAGGCAGCGCCGAGGCCGCCGTGGCCCAAGAAGCTGGAGGACATGGGGCCGTTGTCCAGCCCAGGTGGCGGCGGCAGAGGCAGCAGAGTCCAGCCAAGGGCGGCCTCCCCTCGGCTCGGCCGGGGGACCGGGGTCTGGCGGCCCCTCCGGGCAGAGGCCCGGACAAAAGCCAGCGGGGGAAAAGGCGAGCCGCCAGCGCCATCTTGTGACCTTTCACCCCGGCGCCGGCCGGTGCTGCAGCGAACGGACGCCGGCGGGAAACCACCCCTCAGCTGGGCTCGCGAGCGGGACTGATCGGGGAAGCTGGCCCGTGGCTGCCACCGCGGGGGAGCCCGCCGCCTCCCCGCTCTCCCTGCAGCAGACAACGCACAGGGGCCGCAGCCCCGCCGGAAACCCGCCGCTCTCGCGAGTTCAGCGGCCTCGCGGGCCTTTTCTCGCGGGGTCGGGTTTCCGGGCGGGTCGGTTGTGGAGGACGTGTTGTAGGCCTAGTTCCCGAGACGCGGAAGTGGACGGGCGCGAGCGGCGATGGCCGGGCAGCACCTCCCGGTCCCCCGGCTCGAGGGTGTTTCGCAGGAGCACTTCATGCAGCACCTCTATCCACAGGTGAGGCCCCGCGCGGGGCCGGACCGCGGGAGCCGGGGGTCCGTCCCTGCCTCTCAGCTGGCTCCCAACGTGTTCCTCGCGACCCGGGGAGTGGGGAGAAGGGGCGGGCGTCACAAAGGGCGGTGGGCTCTGCGGCCCGGGGAGTGGGCGCACGGGGATGTCGCCGGCTCATCCATTCCGGAGAGAACGGCTCCGCGTTTCCGGGGAGCTGCGTGCGGGAAACGTTTCGCCTAATGAGAGCTGCGCTCGCTGCGAAGAGCGGCCTTGCAGGAGCCCCGACCGGAAGCCTTCTGCCGTTACCTTGGCAACGAAGGGCGCTTTCGCTTCCATCACCTCTCGGCCCGCCTTGCTGTCTTCCTTTGGGTTTCTTATATTTTAGAGGTTTCCAGGCTCCCCTGTTGGCGTGAATGGCGCCTGTCAGTCCGCTTTACGGGATTTCAAGGAGCAATTTTTCACTGTACGGAGCCAAAGGGAATCAGTGGGAATTCCCTCAGGAAACCGCCACTGCTTTTGGTCTTGGATGCTAACTAATCCGGGTTCTAGTTCAAACATTGGAATCTCGTGTGTAATTCGAACCTTAATTCTTTAAAAGAAAACTCAGAGAAAAAATAATGGCTTTGTTCTCAGGAAACACACTCAAGTTTTTAGAGATAAAGGAGCATGATATCAGCAGCTTACCCTGAATAGTTCAGAGAATAATTATCTTGTTCTCTATACACAATTAGTGAGAATGAGAGCAAATGGTACAGGAAGCAATTGGGGAATCAGAGTAGATGGTAAATGGCAGTTCTTCGAACTTTTCCATAAGTTTGAAATGGTATCAAAATAAAAAGTTACAAGCATATTTGACTATAAATACACATTTTAGTCATTTAGTCATAAGTAACACTCCTGAAAATGCTTTAAATAATATTTAGATTATCTAGATTTTTTTTTTAATCTCTTAGCTATTCATGATGTCACTGTTTTGTTTGTTTTTGTTCTCCTAATGTTAAAATTTTGTTCTAAGTATATTGGATGGGTCCTTTTCCTATTTTAGTTACAGCATGAATTGTCAAAAGGTTTGAGTTTGAGCATCTTGGGATAAAGAATCATTTCTTTTTATCCCTCTATTGTCAAATACAACTCCTGATATATTGTTTGGTCCTGTTTTTATACTATTCCCCTTTGTAGAGGAAACCTGTAGTGTTGGAAGGAATTGATTTGGGGACATGCACAAGCAAATGGACGGTGGAGTACCTAAGTCAAGTTGGAGGGAGGAAAGAAGTGAAGATTCATGTTGCTGCTGTTCCCCAGATGGACTTCATTAGTAAGAACTTTGTATATAGGTATTTTCTTCTCAGGTTTACTCTCGGGATTCAAATAACTTGTTTTAAACCTTTAAGATATTTATACAAAATCCATATGGCACATCATCTTTTGGCTAGTTTGATATAATCATGGAATAGCGTACTAATTTTTAAAGAATGGCTTTTATATTTTAAAAGACAAGAATTTTGATTTTACATAATTATACAAGGACATTTCCAAACACCTTTTTTTACATAGGGTGTATACCTGATGCCTTCTGGAATCACGGAAGGAACAGAGAATTGTCATAACTAGAGAGGTTACATCTGAATGCTTCGTTAATTAACTGATTCTACCACATTAGTAATTATTATCCAGAGTAATAAATTCTAAAGTTTCCTTTCATGATCTGTTTTGATTTTTAATGCCCTAGTTTTGGAAATTTTTCTAAATCAGATTGTTTTTTGGTAAGTATAAGTCCATTGTTTTTCTGCCCTCTCCAGAAATGTAGGGCAAGTAGTTGCTATGTTTGGCATAAACTTTCATCAACTCAGGTAACTAAAGAAATCATACTTAATTTTCTCTTTTTAAAAAATAACCTTAATACTTTTTTTTCCCCTCATGGTTGTAATTTTATGTTTTATGATCTCTTAAAAGCAAATAAGAGATCGTTAAAAGCTGCTGGATTTCTAAATTTGAAAAGCTTTACTGTAATCTCATAGTTTTAATATACTATTTATTCCCATGAGTTTTGTTAAAAATGTTACATTAAAAAACAAACAACTTTCACATTCTGAGCATGTGCAGTTCCCAGCAAATTCAGTCTATTAAAAACATGTGTAGTTCACAATAGCCTGACTTTTAAAGGGAGTTAGCTGTTTCTTCCAGAGTAGAGATGAGTTAAACAGCTTCTAATGTCCAGGGCCATCCCTTTCTCAGTTTTCCAAGCTCATATTACAGCTTGCCAAAGCATTTCTCAGTTTTTTTATCCTTTGAATATTCACCATTATAGTTTTGGTTTTTAATAGACCATGAATTGAATTGAATTGCCATGAGTTTTCCCAAGTCTAAGAACTTTCATTTTTTATTAAATAAAGAAAGTGGAAGAAAGTGCTGGAATGATAAGCATTTTTCAGCCTGCAGTTAATGTTTATTTTCCAGAGAGTCCAATGCCATAGCAAGTGGTTATTGAAACTTCTTGAATTGCCTTGATGTTTTGTCATGTCCTATAAGCTTTTCAAAAGTTGTTTTTGAAGCACATACATTATGTGATAGTTCTTATCCCAGCTTCCTCCAAACCTTTCACTAGAGCTACTAAAAAGCTACAAGAATATTTTCTTAGTGCAAGAAAAAAATAGATTATTTTTGGCAGTTAATTGGGAGTAGGAAAGAAGGAAGGCATCTCAGCCACAGACAGACTAGAAAGTAAGAAATTCTCATCCATTTATCAGTATTATCACTTCACTTTAATAATATTTATACAGATGAGCTAATGGAGGTTTAAAAATGTTAAGTAACTTACCCAAGATCATATAGCTTGACATGATGGAACCAGGACTTATACCAGATGTGCTTGACTCCACAGAACCCTGATCCTACCCCCTTTTTGATACTACCTCCCTTACTAGTCTATATGTTAGTCCAGACAAATGGAACTTTAGTAGCAGGTGTTTTGTGGGTTGTTTGGTTTTTGTTTGTTTTTTTGAAACATGCATGAGGTAGATAAGATCTCAAGGCCAAGGAACTTGCCAGTTCATATACTTCATATCCCCCCTCTCTCAGCTTTGCTTCTGTAGAACCTCTGACAGGTACCAGTACCTAAGGGAGAAAGGTGCTGGGGCAGCCCTGTTCTACTTCTCTGGACTGAACCACTCTGTCTGCCCTGTTCTTGTAAAGGTCTTGAAACACTTCTGGGTTCTCTTTAGTAACAATCTAAGCCTGGGCAACCGCACCAATTACAGAGGTGGCTCTGGGACAGAGAGGCTTCCCCATTGCTCCCAGACTCTTCAAAGATGCTTTGGTAGGAATGAAGGGTATATGGTGAGGTCAGAGGTGGAAAAACTGAATAGGAGGATGATAAGTAAATTTGTTTATAATATTAGGCAGAAACGATAGTAGAAGATTGGTCTGAGTAGATGGCAGGCTCCTTTTCCCTCACAGTGCTCATTCTACAGTACCAGCAGTGGCCTCGAGTTCAGTTGACATTCATGCTAAAAGGATCCACTAGTCTATATTCTGGCATCAGATTCACTTGGATTTGCCGAAAAAAGCATTCTAGCAGGATAGTATCAGTAGGAGTCCTTATGCCAATCCGGGAGCCATTTTTGGCTCACCAAATATAACAGCTTTGTTGTAAGGGAACAAGACTATAAAAGTGAACCCTAGCTTAGACACCAGTAGCACAAACAACCCATGAATTGACGCAGGTTTCTCTAAGGGCATACTCAGTTGCAAGAGTTACACTACCCATAAGGATGCCAGATCCCCTGCTTCCTAACAATATTTATAGTCCACCACCAGCTCTCTAGCCAGGCATAGTTCACCAATAAACAGTATTACCTGATGTCACAATTGACATTCCACATTTATCTTAACCAGTATGTTTGTAGGAAAACATTGCTAGAAGAAAGTAGGGCCAACCCTTTCTCCCCATCTTCCCAGTACAGATTTCAGGGGGAAGTAAAAGTGAAAAGATGATAACTTTTAATCAGAGGTTTGGAGGCTGCAGTTCATTGCTGAAGGAGGGGAGAGGCTTTTGACCTTGATGCTTCTGAGGACTTGATTATCTTAATGTTACTGATAAGGGATCATCTTTATGTAGGGGCAGTACTTTTGATTCTTGAAGGGATAGGATGGGACCTGGAGAAAAAATAACTTTCAAGGCTCAAGAATGTGAGGTGAAGGAAACACACTTTGCTTTTACAATGTTCAGCCTTTTCAACCAGGTGGAAGGAGCCAGGCATTTGGGTAGAAATATTGAAGAATAAAACATTGTCACTTCACTGGAATTCTCGAGATATTCCTCAGAAGCTTAAAATGACAGAGCATGGTTCAGGAGGATGAGAGTAGTGTTACAAGCTTGTGTTCTCTGCTGACGCCAGAAGGCAGGAAGGCCAGTTGGGGGTGGGGGGACTTGACCTTCATCGACCCTTTGCTTACTGTCTCTTCCAAAGGAGCATGATTAGTAGTTGCCCCATCATCACAAGAGCTTGAAAGTGTGTATTTCCAAAGGTAACCAAACATCATAGGAACATTTTTCTAACAAAAACTTGGAATAAGAGGATATTGGCATATGAGAAGGATCCATCTGTACCATAGATTTAAAAATCTTTAATTTTGCCAAACCGGTTTGGCTCAGTGGATAGAGCGTCGGCCTGTGGACTGAAAGGTCCCAGGTTCGATTCCGGTCAAGGGCATGTGCCTTGGTTGTGGGCACATCCCCAGTAGGAGGTGTGCAGGAGGCGGCTGGTCGATGTTTCTAACTCTCTATCCCTCTCCCTTCCTCTCTGTAAAAAATCAATAATATATATATATATATATGACTTAGACTCATGCCCTGGTCTGCTTCTTTGAATGATTGCAACACTGAACTATGTGTGCACAAGTGGACAAGAGGAGAAAGACTTTGTCTGCTATTGCTTAATTGTCTGTTGCAATGCTTTTCTTCCTGATCAACCCCAGGGCCCCTTTGTTATAATAAGCATCTTATAATTCTCTTTAAGTCCAAAAATTTACAGATAATATTATTTACCTACACACAAAATTATCAAAAACATTAATATGATGCCATGTTTGGGATAGAAACGGGAAGGACATTTATATCAATATCTGTTTTACTATGTAAATAACTACACAAAAAGACATAATAAAGTATCTATGTTCTTACACTTTCTGAACATGAAAAAGTCAGGATTGAAAAGCAGACGATGAGAAGTCTTTCATATAGCAGCATAATAAAATCAAAGAGGTACGGGCGGCTACTAATATTCTGTGCAAAAAAAAAATACTGTATTGCAAAACTTACTCTTGAGTTAATTTAAGCAGACATAAGTTCTAGTCTTGGATGAGTGTCCAGTCAGATATTCAGGCATCTAATAGGATACAGGATATTTACCCCTTGTGCCGAACTATGCTGTGCCTGTCTAGGCACGCTGGCCTCTACCCATTGCATAACAGTGAATGCCCTTTGTCATTGTGACAACAACAATGACCAAGATTTCTCCCCTCCCTCCCATTGCCCTGCTTACTGTCTGATTCTTCACTTACTGATTCCAGAACCAGTACAAGGTGGTCAGCGTTGAAGTGGGGTAATTTGGAAGGTTGGGGAACTCATCATAATGATGAACATG